GAACTAATAAATAAAATTGAATTTAAATTTTATATTTTTTATAACGAAATGTTAATAGTCAGCTAATAAAATTAATAGTCAACTAATAAAACATTAAATAAGAGTTATTTTTTTTATTCGTATAGATAAAGAGTTAAAAATATCATAATAAAAGATAAAATATTAAAATTTATAAATTTATTAAAATAAAATATTAGAAGTAAGTATTTATCCATCTAAAAAATCGGAAACTTTGTTATGAATATAAGAGAACAATTATCAATTATTGATTATAATTTATCAATTTAAATATTTTAAATTATAAATAATAATAATTTTTAATTTTTAATTTTTAAAACAGTTAATTCAAATAGTTTCATTTTAATAAAATCTGAAACTTAAAACTGACTGCAGCTTTCTGATTCCTGATCTGATTTGTACCTTTCACCAAAAAAACAGGTTCAATCTGAAAACAGGAAAAAACCACATGATTGACATCCCCAATGATAAGAACAAATCCCCCTAATTTTGCCTTCTAGTGTATTGTCCTTTTTTTTTTTTTCTTGTTTGAAATACATGTTTCTGTCTTTATTACCAGCTCTGAACATTTTGTAATTTTTACAAAATAAATTTAAGAGTTTGGTATTTTAAATCAAAGGGTTATTTTTTAATTTAATAATTAATTTTTTATAATTTAATACAGTATAAATTATAAAATATTTTTTTGACAAATCAATATTAAGATAAAAAAACAAAATATTTTCCAAGTCATCTAGAATAAAAAAGAGAATGAAATTGCTTGATTGAAGCTGCTCCTGTATAAATTTTTGACAAGGGAAAAGAAAACTTAAATAAAAATACGTTGACGGAAAATTTCTTAGTCAAGAAAAGGGTTTTAGGGTAGAAACGTGAAGGGGTTGGAGGCTGCCAAAGTTTAGTAGGCACACTTGTTCCACGTCGTCTAAAAATCTCACCTGCAACACTGGCACCACATGGTTTTTGGCTTATATTGTTCTATCATTTTCCTAAGGTAGCCAAAAGTATGAGTATTAATTAGGGTATCTAATTTGTTTTCAGATTTAGAGGGGCAAGTTGAATGGTTCAGACCACCTAATCCAAGTATAATACCAAAGGGAATGACAACTCAGGTTTATCTAATTAAATTATTCTGGACTCTCACCTAAAAGTTTTCCCAAAAAAAAAAAAACTATTTATTTGTATTTTTCTGGCCATTATGGTCAAATGGATGTAATATACTTTATATAATCTCCTCTAAAATAGTTAACGATTTAAATATTTTAGTAGTTATATTTTTTCATTGAAAATAAAAAATTTTAAGTTGAATCGCATAACATGCAGTTGGAGCAAAATAAAAAATGAGAAGTGGTTACTTTTCATTATACAATAAAAAAAAAAAAACCTCCCCTGAAACAACTTCCTAGGGTTAATTTTATGGGTTTTTTTTTTAACATTTATTAGTGGGTGACAAGCTGACGGCTTAATATGGAGTTTGAAAATTTTTATATAATATTATGGCCGAATTATGAATGGTTTACGGATACTAAAATATTTATTTTGAATAATTTCAAGGGCTTTGGTGATTTGGTTCATAAGAAGAAAAAAAATATCTCCTTTTATTGTCAGATTAGATATATGATTGAAGTTTTGAGATAACACGTGCATCTTATAAAATTATTTGTGAGAGAATAGTCTTAAAATGTATTTAAAGTGATGTTGAAATACTGTTCCCGCTTAAACAATATTATAAATAATTTAAATATTGGTGATGCAGAAATGATGTTGAGTGATGCTAGAAATGAACTAACAAATTTGCGTTTAATAATAAGATTTTAGTGTTCATCAATTTTAAAATCTTCATTTCCAATTAGATTTAGAGATTTAAACTCATGTAATTCTTAGAAAATTATCTTAAAACATGTAAAAAAAAAAAAACCAACTTAGGAAGTAAAATGAAAAAAATTAGTTTTTTCTCTCAATATTTACAGTTAGATGTCTTTGACTTAGTTTTCATATATCTCAAAATTAATCTCGCAATGAGTGATTTTCTTAAACAATGTTATAAATAATTTAAGTATTGGTGGGGCAGAAATGATGTTTGAGTGATGCTAGAAATGAACTAACAAATATGCGTTTCAATAATAAGACTTTAGTGTTCATTAATTTTAAAATTTTTGGCTAAATTCAATAAATAGTTTATTAACTATATAATTTATTTCAGTTTAATTTATAAACAATTTTTTTCTTTTAAAATAATCAATAAATTATCAATTTTGTTTCAAAATGATCTACTTAGCAAATATTCCATTAATTGACTAACATATTTTTTTTTAGTTGTTGATAAGCTGTCCCTAAACTTTTGAAAAATGTTAAATTTAGTATATATATTTTTGGTTTTTTTGCAATATTTTGTTTTTCAAATTTAAATTATATGTCAAATGTAATAATTAATTAAGATAATAATTTTAATTTACATTGATCAGGATTCTAATTTAATTTACAACAAT